CCAATTTTTCCCCATTAAAATCCCCTTGGCCGCCCATTTTTGCCATTAAAAATCCCATTTTAATCCCATTTTTCACATCAAAATTCCCATTTTTCCCCCATTATTTTCCCATTATTCCCTATTAAAAATCCCATTTTTCCCCCCATTTTTCCATTTTAATCCCATTTTAATCCCAATTTTTCCCATTCAAAATCCCATTTTCCCCATTATATTCCTCTTTTTTTCCTCCTAAAAACCCAATTTTTCCCTATTAAAAATTCCATTTTTTCCCATTTTAATCCCATTAAAAATCAAATTTTCCCCCATTATTTTTCTCTTTTAATCCATTTTTCCCTATTAAAAACCCAATTTTTCCCCCATTTTCCCCCCATTTTCCCCATTAAAAATCCCATTTTTCCCATTAAAAATCCCTTTTTTCCCCCATTTTTCCCATTCAAAATCCCATTTTTCCCCCCAGTTTTTCCTCTTAAAAATCCCATTTTTGCTCATTATTTTCCTCCATTTTTTCCCCTTTTTCCCATTTTTTTCCATTAAAAATCCCATTTTAATCCATTCAAAATCCCATTTTTCCCCCATTATTTTCCCCTTTTTTCCCATTTTTCCCCATTATTTTCCTCTTTTTTTCCCCTTAAAAATCCAATTTTTCCCCTACTAAAAAATCCCCTTTTCCCCCCATTTTTCCCATTTTAATCCTATTAAAATTCCCATTTTTCCCCATTATTTTCCTGTTTTTTCCCCCATTATTTTCCCTTATTCCCCATTATTTCCATTAAAAATCCAATTTTTCCCTATTAAAAATCCCCTTTTCACCCCATTTTTCCCATTTTGATCCCATTAAAAATCCAATTTTTTCCCCATTATTTTCCTCCTTTTTCCCTACTATTTCCTCTTTTTTACCCTTAAAAATCCAATTTTTCCCCCATTATTTTCCTTCTCTTTCCCTCCCCATTATTTTCCTTTTTTCCCCCATTTTCCCCATTTTTCCCCAATTTTTCCCATTCAAAATCCCATTTTTCCCCATTTTTTTCCCCATTTTTCCCCATTTTTCCCCATTATTTTCCTCCTTTTTTCCCCATTCAAAATCCCATTTTTCCCATTTTAATCCCATTTTTCCTATTAAAAATCCCATTTTTCCCCATTATTTCCTCTCTTTTTCCCATTCAAAATCCAATTTTCCTCCATTATTTTCGTCTTTTTTTCCCCATTTTTCCCATTAAAAATCCAATTTTAATCCCATTTTTCACATCAAAATTCCCATTTTTCCCCCATTATTTTCCATTTTTCCCTATTAAAAATCCCCTTTCCCCCCCATTTTAATCCCATTTTTCCTCATTATTTTCCCATTTTTTCCCCTTTTTTCCCCATAAAAATCCATTTTTTCCCCTACTAAAAATCCCCTTTTCCCCCCATTTTTCCATTTTAATCCTATTAAAATTCCCATTTTTCCCCATTATTTTCCTCTTTTTTTCCCCATTTTCACCACTTTTTTTCCTATTTTTTCCCATTTTTTTCCCATTAAAAATCCAATTTTTCCCATTAAAAGTTCCATTTTTTCTCCCCATTTTTCCCCATTTTAATCCCATAAAAAATCCAATTTTTTCCCCATTATTTTCCTCTTTTAATCCCATTTTTCCCCATAAAAATCCAATTTTCCCTATTAAAAATCCCCTTTTCCCACCCATTTTAATCCTATTTTAATCAAACTTAAAATCCCATTTTCCCCCATTATTTTCCTCCTTTTTTCCCATTTTTCCCATTAAAAATCCAATTTTTCCCCATTCAAAATCCCCTTTTTCCCCCCATTTTTCCCCATTTTAATCCCATTTTAATCCCATTTTTTCCCATTAAAAATCCCATTATTTCCCCATTATTTCCCCATTATTTTCCTCTTTTCCCCCCATTTTTCCCATTTTAATCCCATTAAAAATCCCATTTTTCCCCCATTATTTTTGTCTGGTTTTCCCTTTTTTTCCCCTTAAAAATCCAATTTTTCCCTATTAAAAATCCCATTTTAAATCCCATTTTAATCCCATTCAAAATCCCATTTTTCCCCATTATTTTCCTCTCTTTTTTTCCCATTTTTCCCCATTTTCACCACTTTTTTCCCCTTTTTTCCATTTTTCCCCTTAAAAGTCCAATTTTTCCCATTCAAAATCCCATTTTCCCCCCATTTTTCCCATTAAAAATCCCATTTTTTCCTCATTTTCCTCCTTTTTCCCAATTTTTCCCCATTTTCCCCCATTATTTTCCTATTTTTTCCATTATTTCCCATTAAAAATCCAATTTTTCCCATTAAAAATCCCCTTTCCCCCCATTTTAATCCCATTTTAATCCCATTTTTCCCCATTATTTTCCTCTTTTTTCCCCCATTTTCCCCCATTATTTTCCTCTTCTTTTCCCCATTATTTTCCTGGTTTTTTCCCATTTTTTCCCCATTAAAAATCCAATTTTTACCTATTAAGAAATCCCATTTTTCCCCATTTTAATCCCATTTTTCCCCCATTATTTTCCACCTTTTTTCTCCCATTTTTCCCACTAAAAATCCCATTTTTCCCCATTATTTTCCTCCTTTCCCCCCATTATTTTCCTCTCTTCTTTCCCCGTTTTTCTCCCATTTTCACCACTTTTTTTCCTATTTTTTCCCATTAAAAATCCCATTTTTCCCATTAAAAATCCAATTTTTCCCTATTAAAAGTCCCTTTTTTCCCCCCTTTTAACCCATTTTAATCCCATTTTCCCCCCATTATTTTCCTGGTTTTTTTTCCCATTTTCCCCCATTTTCCCCTCTTTTTTTCCCATTTTTTCCCCATTAAAAATCCAATTTTTTCCCCATTAAAAATCCCCTTTCCCCCCATTTTAATCCCATTTTAATCCCATTTTAATCCCATTTTCCCCCATTATTTTCCTCTTTTTTTCCCCATTTTCCCCCCATTATTTCCTGGTTTTTTCCCATTTTTTCCCCATTAAAAATCCAATTTTTCCCTATTAAAAATCCCCATTTTCCCCCCATTTTCCCATTTCCTCCATTTTTCCCCAATATTTTCCCAATTTTTTCCCATATTTCCATTTTCTCTCCCCCCTTTTTTCCCCTTTTCCCCATTTTCCCAATTTTTCCTCATTTTCCCCTTTTCCCCATTTTATTCCCATTTTTCCCCCATTTTTCCCCCATTTTTTCCCAATTTCTTCCCCAATTTTTCCCCATTTTTCCCTAATTGTTTCCCCAATTTTTTTCCAATTTTCCCCCAATTTTTTCCTTTTTACCTTTTCCCAAATTTTCCCAATTTTCCCCAAGTTTTGCCCAATTTTCCCTTTTATTTCCCCCAATTTTTCCCCAATCTTTCCCCATTTTTTCCCTTTTTTCCCTTTTATTTTTCCCAATTTTTCCCCCATTTCCCCCCAATTTTTCCCTATTATTTTCCCAATTTTTTCCCAATTTTTTCTCAATTTTTTCCCAATTTTCTCCCTTTTTTCCCCATTTTTCCCTTTTATTTTTCCCAATTTCCCCCCCAATTTCCCCCCTTTTATTTTCCCCAATTTTCCCACAGTTTCTTCCCAATTTTCCCCAATTTTTTCCCTTTTATTTTTCCCAATTTTTTCCTTTTATATTTCCCCATTTTCTCCCCATTTTCCCCCAATTTTTTCCTTTTTTTTCCCCATTTTTCCCTTTTATTTTTCCCATTTTCCCTTTTTTTTTTCCCATTTTTCCCCCCAATTTTTTCTCTTTTATTTTCCCCATTTTTTCCCCAATTTTTCCCTTTTATTCCCCCAAATTTTTCCCCATTTTTCCCAAATTTTTTCCGATTTCCCCAATTTTTTCTCTTTTATTTTTTCCCATTTTTCCCAAATTTCCCCCAATTTTTTCCCAATTTTTCCCCATATTCCCCCATTTTTTCCAATTTTTTTCCTTTTTTTCCCCATTTTCTCCCAATTTTTTCCCTTTTGTTTACCCCAATTTCCCCCCATTTTTTCCCTTTTATTTTCCCCATTTTCCCCCAATTTTCCCCCAATTTTTTCCCCAATTTTTTTCTTTATTCTCCCCATTTTTCCCTTTTATTTTCCCCAATTTTCCCCCAATTTTTCCCCTTTTATATTTCCCCATTTTTCCCCTTTCCTTTTCCCCATTTTTCCCCATTTTCCCAATTTTTCCCTTTTTTTTTCCCAAATTTCCCCCAATTTTTCCCTTTTATTTTTCCCTTTTATTTTCCCCATTTTTTTCCCTTTTTTTTTCAATTTTTTTCCCCCATTTTCTCCCAATTTTTTCCCTTTTGTTTACCCAAATTCTCCCCCATTTTTTCCCTTTTTCTTTTCCCCAATTTCTCTCCAATTTTCCCCCAAATTTTTTTCCCTTTTTTTTCTCAATTTTTTCCAATTTTTTCCCTTTTATTTTCTCCAATTTTTCCCCAATTTTTCCCTTTTCTTTTCCCCAATTTCTCCCCCTTTTTCCCCAATTTTTCCCCAATTTCCCCCCCAATTTTTCCCTTTTATTTTTTCCCTATTTTCCCCCAATTTCTCCCCAATTTTTCCCAATTTCTCCTCAATTTCTTCACATTTTTTTCTCAATTTTTCCCCGATTTCCTGCAATTTTTGCCTTTTATTTTCCCCCAATTTTTCCCTTTATTCTCCCAATTTCTTCCCAATTTCCCCCTTTTATTTTCCCCATTTTTTTCCAATTTTTTCCCCAATTTTCCCCCAATTTTTCCCCAATTTTTCCCTTTTCTTTTCCCCAATTTCTCCCCAATTTCTTCCCTTTTTTTCCTCAATTTTTTCCAATTTTTCCCTTTTCTTTTCCCCAATTTTTCCCTTTTCTTTTCCCCAATTTTCCCCCAATTTTTCCCTTTTTTTTCCTCAATTTTTTCCAATTTTTTCCCTTTTATTTTCTCCAATTATTTTCTCCAATTTTTTCCGAATTTTTCCCCAATTTCCCAATTTTCCCCCAATTTTTTCCCCAATTTTTCCCTTTATTCCCCCATTTTTCCCCTTTATTTGAGTTCAGGTCTCACCTTTGCCCAGTGGGGGTCTCCCCCCGTGCCTGCGCATGATCCCCTCGTAGAGCTGCCAATAGCGGCCCCGCGGCGCCTCCCGCCCGTACGGCCTGCGGAGAAACGGGATCAGGGATCCACTCTGGGATCCACTCTGAGGGTTTGGGATCCACCCCAGGGGGTTTGGGATCCTGGGATCCACACCCTGGGACCCACCAATAACGGCCCCGCGGCGCCTCCCGCCCGTACGGCCTGGGGGGAAACGGGGATCAGGGATCTGGTTAGGGATCCACCCCTGGGATCCACCCCGGGATCCACTCAGGGGATTTGGGATTCTGGGATCCACCCCTGGGATCTGCCAATAGCGGCCCCCGCGGCGCCTCCCGCCCGTACGGCCTGCGGGGAAATGGATGGGGTCAGGGATCCACCCCTGTGGGATCCACTCTGGGATCCTGGGATCCACCCCTGGGAACAACCCTGGGAATTTGGGATCCTGGGATCCACCAATAGCGGCCCCGCGGCGCCTCCCGCCCGTACGGCCTGGGGGAAAGGATGGGATGGGATCAGGGATCCACCCCTGGGGGATCCACCCCTGGGGGTTTGGGATCCTGGGATTCACCCCTGGGAACAACCCCGGGAATTTGGGACCCTGGGATCTGCCAATAGCGGCCCCGCGGTGCCTCCCGCCCGTACGGCCTGGGGGAGAATGGATGGGATCAGGGATCCACTCTGGGGGATCCACCCCATTGAATTTGGGATCTACCCCTGGGAACGACCCCAGGAATTTGGGATCCTTGGATCCACACCCTGGGGATCTGCCAATAGCGGCCCCGCGGCGCCTCCCGTCCGTACGGCCTGCGGAGAAACGGGATCCGGTCAGGGATCCACTCTGGGATCCACCCTGGGATCCACCCCATTGAATTTGGGATCTACCCCTGGGAACGACCCCGGGAACAACCCTGGGAATTTGGGATCCTGGGATCCACACCCTGGGATCTGCCAATAGCGGCCCCACGGCGCCTCCCGCCCATACGGCCTGGGGAGAAACGGGATCAGGGATCCACTCCTGGGATCTACCCCTGTGGGATCCACCCCTGGGATCTGCCAATAGCAGCCCCGCGGCGCCTCCCGCCCGTACGGCCTGCGGGGAATGCATGGGGTCAGGGATCCACCCCTGGGAAATCCACCCCATTGAATTTGGGATCTACCCCTGGTAACCCTGGGAACGACTCCAGGAATTTGGGATCCTGGGATCCACCCCTGGGAACGACCCCGGGAATTTGGGATCCTTGGATCCACACCCTGGGATCTGCCAATAGCGGCCCCGCGGCGCCTCCCGTCCGTACGGCCTGGGGAGAAACGGGATCCGGTCAGGGGATCCACCCTGGGATCCACCCCTCTGGGATCCACCCCATGGAATTTGGGATCTACCCCTGGGAACGACCCCAGGAATTTGGGATCCTTGGATCCACACCCTGGGAGCTGCCAATAGCGGCCCTGCAGCGCCTCCCGCCCGTACGGCCTGCGGGGAATGGATGGATCAGGGATCCACCCCTGGGATCCACCCCTGGGGATTTGGGATCCTGGGATCCACACCCTGGGATCTGCCAATAGCAGCCCCGCGGCGCCTCCCTCCCGTACGGCCTGCGGGGAAATACGGATGGGATCAGGGATCCACCCCTGGGGGATCCACCCCTCTGGGATTCGGGATGCTGGGATCCACCCCTGGGATCAACCCTGGGAATTTGGGATCCTGGGATCCACCAATAGCAGCACCTCCCGCCCATACGGCCTGGGGGGAAATAGGGATGGGGTCAGGGATCCACCCCAGGATCCACTCAGGGGATTTGGGATCCCGGGATCCACCCCTGGGAACAACCCTGGGAATTTGGGATCCTTTGATCCACCAATAGCGGCACCTCCCACCCATACGGCCTGGGGAGACACGGGATCCGGTCAGGGATCCACCCCAGGATCCACCCCTGGGAATTTGGGATCCTTTGATCCACCAATAGCGGCACCTCCCGCCCGTACGGCCTGGGGGGAACAGGATCAGATCGGGATCCACCCCATGGAATTTGGGATCCTGGGAAATCCACCCTGGGGATTTGGGATCCCTGGATCCACCAATAGCGGCACCTCCCGCCCCCTACGGCCTGGGGGGACACAGGATGGGATCAGGGATCCACCCCTCTGGGATCCACCCATGGGATTTGGGATCCTGGGATCCACACCCTGGGATCTGCCAATAGCGGCCCCCCGCCCGTACGGCCTGTGGGGACATGGGATCCACCCCTGTGGGATCCACCCCTGAGAATTTGGGATCCTGGGAAGTCCACCCTGGGATCCACCAAGAGCGGCGCCTCCCGCCCATACGGCCTGCGGGAAACGGGGATGGGGTCAGGGATCCACCCCTGGGATCCATCTTGAGATCCACTCCAGGAATTTGGGGATTCTGGGAAATCCACCCTGGGAACCACTCTGGGTGCTTGGGATCCTGGGATCCACCCCTGGGAATTTGGGATCCTGGGATCCAGACCCTGGGATCCGCCAATAGCAGCCCCGCGGCGCCTCCCGCCTGTACGGCCTGGGGGACACGGGATCCGGTCAGGGATCCATCCCTGTGGGATCCACCCCATTGAATTTGGGATCCTGGGATCCGCACCCTGGGATCTGCCAATAGCGGCCCCGCGGCGCCTCCCGCCCGTACGGCCTGCGGGGACACGGGATCAGATCGGGATCCACCCCTGGGAAATCCACCCCATTGAATTTGGGATCTACCCCTGGTAACCCTGGGAACGACTCCAGGAATTTGGGATCCTGGGATCCACCCCTGGGAACAACCCTGAGAATTTGGGATCCCTGGATCCACACCCTGGGATCTGCCAATAGCGGCCCTGCGGCGCCTCCCGCCCGTACGGCCTGGGGGGAATGGATTGGGATCAGGGATCCACCCCTCTGGGATCCACTCTGGGATCCTGGGATCCACCCCTGGGAACAACCCCGGGAATTTGGGAACCTGGGATCTGCCAATAACGGCCCCGCGGCGCCTCCCGCCCGTACGGCCTGTGGGGAATGCATGGGATCTGGTCAGGGATCCACCCTGGGAAATCCACCGTGGGATCCACCCTGTGGGGTCCACCCCTCTGGGATCCACCCAGGGGATTCAGGATCCTGGGATCCACCCCTGGGAACGACCCCGGGGAATTTGGGATTCTGGGAAATCCACCCTGGGATCCACCCTGGGAACCACTCTGGGGGTTTGGGATCCTGGGATCCACCCCTGGGAACAACCCTGAGATTTTGGGATCCTGGGAAATCCACCCTGGGATCCACCCTGGGATCCACTCAGGGGATTCGGGATCCTGGGATCCACCCCTGGGAACAACCCCGGGAATTTGGGATCCTTGGATCCACACCCTGGGATCTGCCAATAGTGGCCCCGCGGCGCCTCCCGCCCGTACGGGCCTGCGGGGAATGGGGATGGGATCTGGTCAGGGATCCACTCTGGGGGATCCACCCCTCTGGGATCCACCCATGGGATTTGGGATTCTGGGATCCACCCAATTGAATTTGGGATCTACCCCTGGGAACGACCCCAGGAATTTGGGATCCTGGGATCCACCCCTGGGATCTGCCAATAACGGCCCCGCGGCGCCTCCCGCCTGTATGGCCTGGGGGAAATGCATGGGATCTGGTCAGGGATCCACCCTGGGATCCATCTTGGGATCCACTCCAGGAATTTGGGATTCTGAGAAATCCACCCCAGGGAATTTGGGATCCTTGGATCCACACCCTGGGATCTGCCAATAGCGGCCCTTCGCGGCGCCTCCCGCCCGTACGGCCTGCGGGGAATGCATGGGATCTGGTCAGGGATCCAACCCTGGGTGCTTGGGATCCTGGGATCCACCCCTGGGAACAACCCCGGGAATTTGGGATTCTGGGATCCACCAATAGCAGCGCCTCCCGCCCGTACGGCCTGTGGGGAATGGATGGGATCTGGTCAGGGATCACCCTGGGAAATCCACCCCGGGATCCACCCTGTGGGGTCCACCCCTCTGGGATCCACACAGGGGATTCAGGATCCTGGGATCCAGCCCTGGGATCGACCCCGGGAATTTGGGATTCTGGGAAATCCACCCGTGTGGGATCCACCCTGGGAACCACTCTGGGTGCTTGGGATCCTGGGATGCACCCCTGGGATGCACCCCTGAGAATTTGGGATCCTGGGAGATCCACCCTGGGAACCACTCAGGGGATTTGGGATCCTGGGATCCACCCTGGGGTCCACCCCATGGAATTTGGGATCCTTGGATCCACACCCCAATAGCGGATCTGCCAATAGCGGCCCCGCAGCGCCTCCCGTCCGTACGGCCTGGGGGGAATGCATGGGATCAGGGATCCACCCCTGTGGGATCCGGCCAGGGATCCACTCCGGGGATTTGGGATCCTGGGATTCACCCCTGGGAACAACCCCGGGAATTTGGGATCCTGGGATCCACCAAGAGCGGCGCCTCCCGCCCGTACGGCCTGGGGGGAAATGGGGATGGGGTCAGGGATCCACCCCTGTGGGATCCACCCCTGGGAATTGGGGATCCGGGGATCCAGACCCTGGGATCTGCCAATAGCGGCCCCCGCCCCATAAGGCCTGTGGGGACATGGGATCTGGTCAGGGATCCACTCTGGGATCCACTCAGGGGATTCGGGATCCTGAGAAATCCACCCTCAGATCCACCCTGGGAATTTGGGACCCTGGGAAATCCACCCTGGGATCCATCCCGGGAATTTGGGATCCTGGGGTCGGGATGGGTTTGGGATCATGAATCAGCTGAATCCACCCCTGGGAATTCAGGATCCTGAGGAAGGGATGGATTTGGGATCTTGGATGGATGGATTTGGGACTGGGATCAAGAATCTGCTGGGTCCACCTTGGGATCCACCCCTGGGATCCACCCCAGGAATTTGGGATCAGATTGGGATGCACCCCTGGGAATTTGGGATCCTGAGAAATCCACCCTCAGATCCACCCTGGGAATTTGGGATTCTGGGAAATGCACCCTGGGATCCACCCCGGTAAATCCACCCTGGTATCCTGGGATCCACTCTGGGAATTCAGGATCCTGGGATTGGGAATCCGCCAGATCCAGCGTAGGATCCTGGGATCCGGCTGATTCCCAATCCTGACCCCAAGATCTCAAATTCCCAGAGTGGATCCTGGGGATGGATCCCAGAGTGGATCCCGGGGATGGATCTCAGCGCTGGATCCTTGGATCTGCCTGATCCCCATTTCCAATCCCAGGATCTCGAATTCCCAGAGCGGATCCCAGAGTGGATTTCCCAGGCTGGATCCACCCAATTCCCCAACTCCCAGAGCGGATCCCGCGTTTGGATTTCCCGGGGTGGATCCCAGCACTGATTCCCGCTCCTGCCTTCCCCAATTCCTGGGGCTGGATCCCAGAGTGGATCCCGGGGCTGGATCCTTGGCTCTGCCTGATTCCCAATCCTGATCCCGGGATCTCAGATTCCCAGAGTGGATCCCAGAGTGGATTTCTCGGGGCAGATCCAGCCAATTCCCCAAACTCCCAGAGTGGATCCCAGAATAGATCCCAGCACTGGATCCGCCTGATTCCCAATCCTAAGATCCCAATATCTCCAATTCCCAGAGTGGATCCCGGGGCTGGATTTCTTGGGGTGGATACCAGGAGTGGATCTCAGCACTGAATCCTTGGCTCTGCCTGATTCCCAATCCCAGGATCTCGAATTCCCAGAGCAGATCCCAGAGTGGATTTCCCAGGCTGGATCCATCCAATTCCCATCTCCCGGGGTGGATCCCAGAGTGGATTTCCCAGGCTGGATCCACCCAATTCCCAAACTCCCAGAGTGGATCCTGGGGGCTGGATCCCAGAGTGGATCCTTGGCTCTGCCTGATTCCCAATCCCAGGATCTCGAATTCCCAGAGCGGATCCCAGAGTGGATTTCCCGGGCTGGATCCACCCAATTCCCAAACTCCTGGAGTGGATCCTGGGTTTGGATTTCCCGGGGTGGATCCCAGCGCCGATTCCCACTCCTGGCTACCCAAACTCCCACAGTGGATCCCAGGGATGGATCTCAGCACTGGATCCCAGAGTGGCTTTCTCAGGGCAGATCCATCCAATTCCTCATTTCCTGGAGAGGATCCCAGAGTGGATTTCTTGGGCTGGATCCACCCAATTCCCCAATTCCCAGAGCGGATCCCATGGGTGGATTTCCCAGGCTGGATCCACCCAATTCCCCAATTCCCAGAGCGGATCCCAGAGCGGATTTCTCGGGGCAGATCCCTCCAATTCCCCATCTCCCTGAGCAGATCCCAGAGTGGATTTCCCGGGCTGGATCCACCCAATTCCCATCTCCCGGAGCGGATCCCAGAGTGGATTTCCCGGGCTGGATCCATCCAATTCCCAATCTCCCGGAGTGGATCCCGGGGCTGGATCCCACTGTGGATCCCAGAGTGGATTTCTCATGGCAGATCCATCCAATTCCCAATCTCCCTGAGTGGATCCACCCAATTCCCCAATTCCCGGAGCAGATCCCACATTTGGATTTCCTGGGGTGGATCCAGTGCTGATTCCCACTCCCGGCTTCCCAATCTCCCGGAGTGAATCCCGGAATCGATCCCAGGGCTGGATCTCAGCACTGGATCCTTGGCTCTGCCTGATTCCCAATCCCAACTTCCCAATCCCAACTTCCCAATCCTGGGATCTGGAATTCCCAGAGTGGATCTCAGGGGTGGATCCCGGGCCTGGATCCCAGAGTGGATCCTTGGCTCTGCCTGATTCCCAATCCCGATCCCAATCCCAGGATCTTGAATTCCCAGAGTGGATTTCTTGGGGCAGATCCATCTGATTCCCCATCTCCCGGAGTGGATCCTGCGGGTGGATTTCCCAGGCTGGATCCACCCAATTCCCAATCTCCTGGAGCAGATCCCAGGGCTGGATCCCAGAGTGGATTTCCCAGGCTGGATCCACCCAATTCCCCAATTCCCAGAGCGGATCCCGTGGGTGGATTTCCCAGGCTGGATCCACCCAATCCCCATCTCCCGGAGTGGATTCCGGGGTGGATTTCTCAGGGTGGATCCCAGCACTGATTCCCACTCCTGGCTTCCCAAACTCCTGGAGTGGATCCTGGGGCTGGATCCCAGAGTGGATTTCTCAGAGCAGATCCAGCCGATTCCCACTCCTGGCTTCCCAAACTCCCGGAGCAGATCCCAGGGCTGGATCCCAGAGCGGATTTCCCGGGCTGGCTCCACCCAATTCCCCAATTTCCCGGAGCGGATCCCAGAGTGGATTTCCCAGGCTGGATCCATCCAATCCCCATCTCCCTGGAGCGGATCCCGCGGGTTTGGATTTCCCGTCCCACCTGTACATGATGACGTTGATGTAGCAGGAGTCGCGCTGGAAGCAGGGGCTGAGCGGGATCCGGTCGCGGCGGCAGAAGCGGATCTCCACCGGGAAATGCGCGCCCAGGCCCGGCTCCGCCGCCAGCGCCGCCCGCAGCTCCAGCAGCGCCGCCCGAGCGCGACCGCTGACCAAAAACCACACACAGAGAGAGAAATGGGGGAAATGGGATCGGGAATGCCGGAAATGTGCGGGGAGAGCGGCACGGGATGGGCTGGGAATGGGCTGGGAATGGGCTGGGAATGGGTTGGGAATGGGCTGGAATGGTTGGGAATGTTCTGGAATGTGGGATCACATGGATCTGGGATTTGGAGCGGGATGGGTTTGGGATCCTGGGCTTGGGATCTGCAGGGATCTCCAGCCCGTGGAATTCTGGGAGTGTTCTGGGAATGGTCTGGAATGGGCTGGGAATGTCCTGGGAATGGGCTGGGAATGGGCTGGGATCACAGGGATCCGGGGTTTGGGACGGGGTTGGGATCCTGGGGTTGGGATCTGCAGGGATCTCCAGCCCATGGAATTCTGGGAATGGTCTGGAATGTTCTGGGAATGGTCGGGAATGGTCTGGAATGTGGGATCACAGGGGATCCGGGGTTTGGAGCAGGACGGGGTTGGGATCTGCAGGGATCTGGTTCTAAAGAATTCCAGGTTTTCCTGGGAATGGTCGGGAATGTTCTGGAATGGTCGGGAATGGGCTGGGAACAATCGGGAATGGTCTAGGAATGGTCTGGAATGGTCAGGAACAGTCTGGAATGTGGGATCACAGGGGATCTGGGGTTTGGGATGGGAATGGTCTGGGATATGCAGGGATCTCCAGCCCATGGAATTCTGGGAATGGTCTGGAATGGGCTGGGAATGGTCTGGGAATGGTCGGGAATGGTCGGGAAAGGTCAGGAATGGGCTGGGATCTGCAGGGATCTCCAGCCCATGGAATTCTGGGAGTGTCCTGGGAATGGGCTGGGAATGGGGCTGGGAATGGGCTGGGAATGGTCGGGAATGGTCGGGAATGGTTGGGAATGGGCTGGGAATGTTCTAGGAATGTTCTGGAATGTTCTTCATGTGGGATCACACAGGGGATCTGGGGTTTGGGATGGGGTTGGGATCCTGGGCTTGGGACCTGCAGGGATCTCCAGCCCATGGAATTCCTGGTTTTCCTGGGAATGGTCTGGGAGTGGGCTGGGAATGTTCTGGGATGTTCTTCCCATGGGATCACACAGGGATCGAGAATGTGGGACAGGATGGGTTTGGGATCCTGGGCTTGGGACTTGCAGGGATCTCCAGCCCGGGGAATTCCTGGTTTGCCTGGGAATGGCCTGGGAATGGTCGGGAATGGTCGGGAATGGTCGGGAATGTGGGATCACAGGGGATCTGGGGTTGGGATCCTGAGGTTGGGATCTGCAGGGATCTCCATTCTAAAGAGTTCCAGCTTTTCCTGGGAATGGTCGGGAATGGTCTGGAATGGTCGGAAATGGGCTGGGAATGGGCTGGGAATGGGCTGGGAATTGTCTGGGATCACACAGGGATCTGGGGTTTGGAGCAGGATGGGGTTGGGATCCTGGGCTTGGGATCTGCAGGGATCTCCAGCCCATGGAATTCCAGGTTTTCCTGGGAATGGTCGAGGAATGGTCTGGAATGGTTGGGAATGGTCTGGGAATGGTCTGGAATGGTCTGGAATGTGGGGGGACACACAGGGGATCTGGGGTTTGGAGCAGGATGGGGTTGGGATCTGCAGGAATCTCCATTCTAAAGAATTCCAAGTTTTCCTGGGAATGGTCTGGGAATGGTCGGGAATGGTCAGGAATGGTCGGGAATGGCTGGCATGGTCTGGAATGTGGGATCACAGGGGATCCTGGGGTTTGGGATGGGATGGGGTTGGGATCCTGGGCTTGGGATCTGGAGGGATCTGCATTCTAAAGAATTCCAGGTTTTCCTAGGAATGGTCTGGAATGGGTTGGAATGTGGGGGGACACACAGGGGATCCAGGGTTTGGGATCCTGGGCTTGGGATCTGCAGGGATCTCCAGCCCATGGAATTCTGGGAATGGTCTGGAATGGGCTGGAATGGCCGGGAATGGTCTGGGAATGGTCGGGAATGTTGGATCACAGGCGATCCAGGGTTTGGGTTGGGGTTGGGATCTGGAGGGATCTCCAGCCCATGGAATTCTGGGAATGTTCTGGAATGTTCTTCATGTGGGATCACAGGGATCTGGGGTTTGGGATGGGATGGGTTTGGGATCCTGGGGTTGGGATCTGGAGGGGTCTCCAGTCCACAGAATTCCAGGTTTTCCTGGGAATGGTCTGGGAATGGTTGGGAATGGTCTGGGATCTGCAGGGATCTCCAGCCCATGGAATTCTGGGAATGTTCTGGAATGGGCTGGGAATGGTCTGGGAATGGTCAGGAATGTTGGATCACAGGGGATCCAGGGTTTGGGATGGGGTTGGGATCTGGAGGGATCTCCAGCCCATGGAATTCTGGGAGTGTTCTGGGAATGGTCTGGAATGGGCTGAAATGGGTTGGGAATGGTCGGGAATGGGCTGGGAATGGTTGGGAATGGGCTGGGAATGGTCGGGAATGTTCTAGGAATGTTCTGGAATGTTCTTCATGTGGGATCACAGGGATCTGGGGTTTGGAGCAGGACGGGGTTGGGATGCTGGGCTTGGGATCTGCAGGGATCTCCAGCCCATGGAATTCTGGGAGTGTTCTGGGAATGGTCTGGAATGGGCTGGGAATGGGCTGGGAATGGGCTGGGAATGGGCTGGGAATTGTCTGGGATCACAGGGATCTGGGGTTTGGGACGGGGTTGGGATGCTGGGCTTGGGATCTGCAGGGATCTCCAGCCCGTGCAATTCCTGGTTTTCCTGGGAATGGTCGGGAATGGGCTGGGAATGGGCTGGGAATGGTCTGGGATGTTCTTCCCATGGGATCACACAGGGATCCAGAATGTGGGACGGGATGGGGTTGGGATCCTGGGGTTGGGATCTGCAGGGATCTCCAGCCCATGGAATTCTGGGAATGGTCTGGAATGTTCTGGGAATGGTCGGGAATGGTCTGGAATGTGGGATCACAGGGGATCCGGGGTTTGGAGCAGGACGGGGTTGGGATCTGCAGGGATCTGCGTTCTAAAGAATTCCAGGTTTTCCTGGGAATGTTCTAGGAATGGTCTGGAATGGTCGGGAATGGGCTGGGAACAATCGGGAATGGTCTAGGAATGGTCTGGAATGGTCAGGAACAGTCTGGAATGTGGGATCACAGGGGATCTGGGGTTTGGGATGGGAATGGTCTGGGATATGCAGGGATCTCCAGCCCATGGAATTCTGGGAATGGTCTGGAATGGGCTGGGAATGGTCTGGGAATGGTCGGGAATGGTCGGGAAAGGTCAGGAATGGGCTGGAATGGGCTGGGATCACAGGGGATCCGGGGTTTTGGGATGGGATGGGATGGGTTTGGGATCCTGGGCTTGGGATCTGCAGGGATCTCCAAGGAAATATTCCCAGTGGGAATGGTGTCTGCTCTTCCCATGGATTTGGGATCCTGGAGTTGGGATCTGCAGGCATCTCCAGCCCACGGAATTCCAGGTTTTCCTGGGAATGGTCAGGAATGGTCTGGGAATGGTCTGGAATGTTCTTCCCATGGGATCACACAGGGATCCAGAATGTGGGACGGGATGGGGTTGGGATCCTGGGCTTGGGATCTGCAGGGATCTGCATCCTAAAGAATTCCAGGTTTTCCTAGGAATGGTCTGGAATGGGTTGGAATGTGGGGGGACACACAGGGGATCCGGGGTTTGGGATCCTGGGCTTGGGATCTGCAGGGATCTCCAGCCCATGGAATTCCTGGTTTTCCTGGGAATGGTCAGGAATGGTCTGGAATGTTCTGGAATGTGGGATCACTCGGGGGATCTGGGGTTTGGGATGGGGTTTGGGATCCTGGGCTTGGGATCTGCAGGGATCCCCATGGAAATCATCCAGGTGGGAATGGTGAACCCAATCCATGATCCAGGGATCATGGAATTCCCACAGGAATTCACCACCGGGATCAGGGAATTCCATGGGGATGGCCCAGTCCTGGACTGGGATCTGGGAATTCCCATGGAAAAGGAGAAAGATCCAGGAATTAAGGGAATTACATGGGAATGGACTGGGATCTGGGAATTCCCAAGGAAAAGGACCAGGATTTGGGAATTACATGGGAATGGCCCAGTCCTGGACTGGGATTTGGGAATTCCCATGGAAAAGGAGCAGGATCTGGGAATGATGGGAATTACATGGGAATGGACTCAGATCTGGGAATTCCCAAGAAAATGGGCCCAGTCCTGGACTGGGATCAGGGAATTCCCGTGGAAAAGGGCCGGGATTTGGGAATTCCATGGGGATGGGCCCAGTCCTGGACTGGGATCTGGGAATTCCCATGGAAAACGGGAAGGATGCAGGAATTATGGGAATTGCATGGGAATGGACTGGGATCATGGAATTTCCTTGGGAATGGCCCAGTCCTGGACTGGGATCCAGGAATTTCATGGGGATTACCCAATCCGGGACTGGAATTTGGGAATTCCCGTGGGAATGAACCAGGATCAGGGGATTACATGGGCACGGCCCAGTCCTGGACTGGGATCAGGGAATTCCCATGGGATTGAACCGGGATCAGGGAATTCCCGTGGAAAAGGGCCGGGATCAGGGGATTACATGGGAACGGCCCAGTCCTGGACTGGGATCAGGGAATTCCCATGGGAATGAACCGGGATCAGGGAATTCCCGTGGGATTGAACTGGGATTTGGGGATGGATTCCATGGGAATGGCCCAGTCCGGGACTGGAATTTGGGAATTCCCGTGGAAAAGGGCCGGGATCAGGGGATTCCATGGGTATGGCCCAGTCCTGGACTGGGATTTGGGAATTCCTGTGGGATTGAACCGGGATTTGGGGATGGATTACATGGGCATGGCCCAGTCCTGGACTGGGATCAGGGAATTCCCATGGGAATGAACCGGGATTTGGGAATTCCCATGGGAATGAACCGGGATTTGGGAATTACATGGGCACGGCCTGGACTGGGATTTGGGAATTCGCATGGAAAAGCAGCAGGATTTTGGAATTCCATGAGGATGGCCCAGTCCTGTACTGGGATTTGGGAATTCCCGTGGGATTGAACCCGGATCAGGGGATTACATGGGCACGGCCCAGTCCTGGACTGGAATTTGGGAATTCCCATGGGAATGAACCAGGATTTGGGAATTACATGGGTACGGCCCAGTCCTGAACTGGGATCAGGGAATTCCTGTGGAATTGAACCGGGATTTGGGAATTCCCGTGGGAATGAACCCGGATCAGGGAATTACATGGGGATGGCCCAGTCCTGGACTGGAATTTGGGAATTCCCATGGAAAAGGGCTGGGATCAGGGATTTCCCGTGGGAATGAACCGGGATCAGGGGATGGATTACATGGGCACGGCCCAGTCCTGGACTGGGATCTGGGAATTCCCGTGGAAAAGGGCCGGGATCAGGGGATTCCTGTGGGAATGAACCGGGATTTGGGGATGGATTACATGGGCACGGCCCAGTCCTGGACTGGGATCATGGAATTCCCATGGGATTGAACCGGGATCATGGAATTCCCATGGGAATGAACCGGGATTTGGTAATTCCCATGGAAAAGAGCCAGGATTTGGGGATTACATGGGCACGGCCCAGTCCTGGACTGGGATTAGGGAATTCCCATGGAAAAGGACCAGGATTTGGGAATTCCCATGGAAAAGAGCCAGGATTTGGGGATGGGTTACATGGGCACGGCCCAGTCCTGGACTGGAATTTGGGAATTCCCATGGGATTGAACCGGGATCAGGGAATTCCCATGGGATTGAACCAGGATCTGGGAATTCCCATGGAAAAGGGCTGGGATTTGGGGATGGATTCCATGGGAACGGCCCAGTCCTGGACTGGAATTTGGGAATTCCCATGGAAAAGGGCCGGGATTTGGGAATTCCCATGGAAAAGAGCCAGGATCAGGGGATTACATGGGCACGGCCCAGTCCTGGACTGGGATCTGGGAATTCCCATGGGATTGAACCGGGATCATGGAATTCCCGTGGGATTGAACCGGGATTTGGGAATTACATGGGAACAGCCCAGTCCTGGACTGGGATCAGGGAATTCCCATGGGAATGAACCGGGATCAGGGAATTCCCATGGAAAAGGGCTGAGATTTGGGGATTACATGGGCACGGCCCAGTCCTGGACTGGGATCTGGGAATTCCCATGGGATTGAACCAGGATTTGGGGATTCCATGGGCACGGCCCAGTCCTGGACTGGGATCAGGGAATTCCCATGGGATTGAACCGGGATTTGGGAATTCCCATGGAAAAGGGCCGGGATCAGGGGAGGGATTACATGGGCACGGCCCAGTCCTGGACTGGAATTAGGGAATTCCCATGGGATTGAACCGGGATTAGGGAATTCCCATGGAAAAGGACCGGGATTTGGGGATGGATTACATGGGCACGGCCCAGTCCTGGACTGGATTTTGGGAATTCCCATGGGAATGGACTGGAATTTGGGAATTACATGGGCACGGCCCAGTCCTGGACGTGCTGGCGGAAGCGGCACTCGTAGTTGAGGATGCGGTGGCTGCGGCCGACGCTCTCCTGGCGGGAGCTGAACAGGAGCCGGAAGAAAACGCGGTTGATCCAAACCACCAGGCCCGGGAAAAAGGTGCTGCAATAAAAAGGGGGGGAGAAAATAACCAAAATGGGAATTTAGCCCTAAAAAACCCTGGGAATTCAGCCCCCAAAATGAGGGAATTCAGCCCCCAAGAAAATGGGAATTCCTTCCCAAAAAAAAGGGAATTCAGCCCCCAAAATGAGGGAATTCAGCCCCCAGGAAAACGGGAATTCAGCCCCCCCAAAAAAATAGGAATTCAGCCTCAAAAAATCAGGAATTCAGCCCCCCAAAAAATGGGAATTCAGTCCTCCAAAAAAGGGGAATTCCTTCCCAAAAAAAGGGGAATTCAGCCCTAAAAACCCTGGGAATTCAGCCCCCAAGAAAATGGGAATTCAGCCCCCCAAAATGGGAATTCCATCCCAAAAAAATGGGAATTCAGCCCCCAAAAAAACGGGAATTCAGCCCCCCAAAAAAGGGGAATTCCTTCCCAAAAACCGGCAATTCAGTCCCCCCAAAAAAAAGGAATGTAGCCCTAAAAAAACGGGAATTCAGCCCCCCCAGAAAAATGGGAATTCCTTCCCCCAAAAAAAAGGGAATTCAGCCCCCCCAAAAATGGGAATTCAGTCTCCAAAAAAAGGGGAATTCCTTCCCAAAAAAAAAGGGGAATTCAACCCCCAAAAAAGGGAATTCAGCCCCCAAGAAAACCCGGGAATTCAGCCCCCAGAAAAATGGGAATTCCTTCCCAAAAAAATGGGAATTCAGCCCTAAAAAAGAACCCGGGAATTCAGCCCCCCCAAAAATAGGAATTCAATCCCCAAAAAACCAGGAATTCCTTCCCAAAACAACCTTGGAATTCAGCCCCCCAAAAAATGGGAATTCAGCCCCCCGAGGAACGGGAATTCCTTCCCAAAAAAATGGGAATTCGGCCCCCAGAAAAACCCAGGAATTCAGCCCCAAAAACATCTCGGAATTCAGCCCTAAAAAAAACCTGGGAATTCAGCCCCCAAGAAAATGGGAATTCGGGCGCCTAGAAACAGGAATTCCTTCCCAAAAACCCAGAAATTCAGCTCCCCAAAAAAACAGGAATTAAACCCCCAAAAATGGGAATTCCTTCCCAAAAAAAAGGGAATTCAGCCCTAAAAAATATGGGAATTCAGCCCCCAAAAAATGGGAATTCCTTCAAAAAAAGACGGGAATTCAGCCCCCCAAAAAAACAGCAATTCAGCCATCAAAAAAATGGGAATTCCTTCCCAAAAAAACCTTGGAATTCAGCCCCCAGAAGAACAGGAATTCAGCCCCCCAAAATGGGAATTCCTTTCCAAAAAAACGGGAATTCAGCCCTAAAAAAGGGGAATTCCTTCAAAAAACTGGGAATTCCATCCCAAAAAACCGGGAATTCAGCCCCCTTAAAAACGGGAATTCCTTCCCAAAAAAGCGGGAATTCAGCCCCCAAGAAAATGGGAATTCAACCCCAAAAAACCAGGAATTCAACCCCCAAAAAAACAGGAATTCAGCCCTAAAAAAACAGGAATTCCTTCCCAAGAAAACCTTGGAATTGCAGCCCAAAAAATGGGAATTCAGCCCCCAAGAAAATGGGAATTCAGCCCCCCCAAAATATGGGAATTCCTTCCCAAAAAATCCTGCAGAAAAACCCTGGGAATTCTTTCCCGAAAAGTCCCCCCCGAGGGCCAGGGAAAGGATCAGGGGATGCTGGGGGGGTTTGGGAATTCTGGGATTTGGGATTTTTGGGATTTGGGGTTTGGGATTTTTGGGATTTGGGATTTGGGGTTTGGGATTTTTGGGATTTGGAATTTGGGTTTTGGAGTTTGGGGAGTTTGGGATTCCTGGGATTTTTGGGATTTGGGGTTTGGGATTTTTGGGATTTGGAATTTGGGGTTTGGGGTTTGGAGTTTGGGATTTGAGGAGTTTGGGATTCTTGGGATTTTTGGGATTTGGGGGCTGAGATTTGGAGTTTGGGGTTTGGGATTTTTGGGATTTGGAATTTGGGATTTGGAATTTGAGGAGTTTGGGATTCTTGAGATTTTTGGGATTTGGGGGCTGAGATTTGGGATTTTTGGGATTTGGGATTTTGGGTATTTGGGGAGTTTGGGATTCCTGGGATTTTTGGGATTTGGGGGCTGGGATTTGGGGTGCAGGATTTGGGATTTTTGGGAATTCCCTGGGAATTTGGGGACTCCCTTCCCTTTTCCATCCCCAAATCCCATAAAAAATCCCTGGGGATGGATCCCGGAATGCCCAACACCTCCCCCTATTCCAGGCTGGGAAATTCCCTGGATTTGGCTTTTCCAGCCCCAAAAATTTCCCACAAATTCATCAAATTTGGGAATTGGGAAAATTCTTGGATTTGGTTTTTCCAGCCCCAAAAATTTTCCACGAATTCATCAAATTTGGGACTTGGGAAAATTCCTTGGATTTGGCTTTTCCAGCCCCAAAATTTTCCACGAATTCATCAAATTTGGGAATTGGGAAAATTCCTTGGATTTGGGTTTTTTCCAGCTGGAAAAATTCCAGGATTTCTGTGGACGCCAGGGGGCAGCAGAGCCCGAGCCGGGAACGCCCTCCCTGGGAAAGCTGCAATTCCCAAAATTCCCCCTTTGCCGGGAATGGGAACGCTCCCGAAAAAACCCAAAAGATCCCAGAACAAGGGGGGAAATGGGGATAAAAGTGGGATTGGGAAATCCCAATCCTGATCCCAATCCCGATCCTGATCCCAGCACTGATCCCAACTCTGATCCCGATCCCAATCCTGATCCTGACCCCGATCCCAATTCCAATCCCAATCCTGATCTTGATTCCAATCCCAATCCCAATCCTGATCCCAACCCTGATCCCGACCCCAATCCCGATCCTGATCCCACCCCAATCCCAAAGCCAGTCCCGATCCCGATCCTGACCCCAATCCCAATCCCAATCCCGTTCCCCTTCCTGATCCCATTCCCGATTCCGACCCCGATCCCAATTCCAACCCCAATCCCAATCCCAATCCTGATCCCAATCCCGATCCAAATCCTGATCCCAACCCCAATCCCCATCCCCATTCCGACCCCAATCCCGATCCTGACCCCGATCCTGATCCCAATCCCGTTCCCCTTCCCAATCCCATTCCTGATCCCAACCCTGATCATGATCCCCAATCCCGATCCCAATAGTGAACTTGAACCCAACCCCAATCCCGACCCCAATCCCGATCCCGACCCGAATCCCGATCCTGATCCCAATGATCCCAATCCCAATCCCGACCCCAATGATCCCAATCCTGATCCCAATCCCAATCCCAATCCCGTTCCCCTTCCCGATCCCATTCCTGATCCCAATCCCAATCCCAATATTGAACTTGAACCCAATCCCAATCCTGATCCCAATCCCGATCCCGATCCGAATCCCAATCCTGATCCCAATGATCACAGCCCCCATCCCAATCCTGACCCCAATTCTGATCCCCACCCTGATCCCAATGATCCCAATCCTGATCCTCATCCCAATCCCAACCCCAATCCTGATACTAATCCCGGTCCTGATCCCAATCCCAAAACTGATCCCGACCCCAATCCCCATCCCAATCCCGATCTCACCAATCCCAATCCCGATCTCAATCCCAATCCCGATCTGATCCCAATCCCGATCCCAATGCTCCCAATGCTGATCTCATTCCCAATCCCGCTCTTGATCCCCATCCCGGTCCTAATCCCAGTCCTGATCCCAACCTCGATGCCAACCCCAAACCCAATCCCAATCCCGATCCTGATTCAAATGGCAAACCTGATCCCAATGATCCCAATCCCAATCCCAATCCTGACCCCAATGATCCCAATCCCGGTACTAATCCCAACACTGATCCCAACCCTGATCCTGATCCCCACTCCCAATCATCCCAACCCCAATCCCAATCCCGATCCCAATGATCCCAATCCCAATCCCGGTACTAATCCCAACACTGATCCCAACCCCAATCCTGATCCTGATCCCCACCGCGACCCCAATCCAAATGATCCCAATCCCAATGAGCCCAATGATCCCAATCCAAACCCCAATCCCGATCTCAATCCTGATCCCTGCCCCGACCCCGATCCCAATGATCCCACTGATCCAAATGATCCCAATCCTGATCCCAATCCTGATCCCAATTCCAACCCCAATCCCGATCTCAATCCTGATCCCAATGATCCCAATGCTGATCCCATTCCCAATCTCAATCTTGATCCCAATCCCGATCCCAATCCCAATCCAAATCGTAATCCTGATCCCAACAATCCCAATCCCAGTCTTGACCCTGACCCCAATCTTGATCCTGATCCCAATCCCAAACCTGTTCCCCTTCCTGATCCCATTCCCGATTCTGACCCCGATCCCGATCCCAACCCCAATCCCGCTCTCAATCCTGATCCCTGCCCTGACCCCGATCCCAATGATCCCACTGACTCCAATGATCCCAATGCTGATCCCAATCCCCATCCCGTTCCTAATCCCAACCTCAATGCCAATCCCAAAACCGATCCCAAACCCAATCCCATTTCCCAATCCCGAACCCCAAACCAATCCTGATCCCAATTCCAACCCCAATCCCGATCTTGATCCCAATCCTGACCCCGCTGATCCCGGTCCCATCCTTTTCCCAGGATTCCATCACTTGCCAGGATAAACTGGTGAGGATTTGGGATTTTTGGGGATTTGGGATTTTTGGGGTTTGGGATTTTTGGAGTTTGGGAATTCTGGGGTTTGGGAATTTGGGAATTTGGGATCTGGGATTTGGGATTTTTAGGATTTGGGAATTGGGGGTTTGGGAGTTGAGGTTTAGGGGATTTGGGATTTTTGGGGGGGATTTTGGGAGTTTTTGGAATTTTGGGGATTTGGGGGCTGGGATGTGGGGTGTAGGAATTTTTGGGATTTTTGGGATTTGGAATTTGGGGTTTGGGATCTGGGGTTTGGGGGATTTGGGATTTTTGGGATTTTTGGGATTTGGGATTTTTGGGATTTTTGGGATCTGAGATTCCTGGGGTTTTGGGTTTGGAGATTTTGGGGATTTGGGGGATTTTTGGAATTTTTGAGAGTTTTGTATTTTGGAATTTTTGATTTGGGGTTGGGTGTATCTGGGATTTTTGAGATTTTTGGGATTTTGGGGATTTTTGGATTTTAAGGTTTGGGATTTTGGGGATTTGGGGGATTTTTGGGATTTGGGGTTTTGGATCTGGGGTTTGGGGGATTTGGGATTTTTGGAATTTTGGAGATGTTTGGGATTTTGGGTTTGGGATTTTGGGGATTTTTGATATTTTGGGTTGGGGATTTTTGATCTTTTTTTTGTATTTTTTGGGATCTTTGGATTTAAGGTTGGGGATTTTTGGGATTTTGGGGATTTTTGGGATTTGGGAGCTGGGATTTGGGGTGTAGGATTTGGAATTTTGGGGATTTGGAGTTTGGGGGATTTGGGATTTCTGGAATTTTGGAGATTTTTTGGATTTTTGATATTTTTGGAATTTAAGGTTTGGGGTTTTGGGGATTTTGGGGATTTAAGGTTTGGGATTTTGGGGATGTTTGGGGATGTTTGGGGATTTTGGGGATTTTTGGGATTTAAGGTTTGGGACTGTGGGGATTTTGGGGATTTTGGGGATTTTTGGGATTTAAGGTTGGGGATTGGGGGTTTTTGGGATTTTGGGGATTTAAGTTTTGGGATTTTGGGGATTTTTGGGGATTTTTTGGGTTTTTGGAATTTAAGGTTTTGGCTTTGGGGGTTTTTGGGGATTTTTGGGATTTTTGGAATTTAAGGGTGGGGATTTTGGGGATTTTGGGGATTTTTGGAATTTAAGGTCTGGGACTTTTGGGATTTTTGGGATTTAAGGTTCGGGATTTTGGGGATTTTTGGGGTTTTTGGAATTTAAGGTTTTGGCTTTGGGGATTTTTGGGGATTTTTGGGATTTTTTGGGATTTTTGGAATTTAAGGTTTGGGATTTTGGGGATTTGGGGGATTTGGGGGATTTTGGGGATTTTTGGAATTTAAGGTTTGGAATATGGGGGATTTTTGGAATTTAAGGTTTGGGATTTTGGGGATTTTGGGAATTTTGGGGATTTTTGGAATTTAAGGTTTGGGATTTTGGGGACTTTGGGGATTTGGGGATTTTTGGAATTTAAGGTCTGGGACTTTTGGGATTTTTGGAATTTAAGGTTGGGGATTTTGGGGATTTGGGGATTTAAGCTTTGGGATTTTGGGGTTTTTGGGATTTTTGCCATTTAAGGTTTGGGATTTAGGGACTTTCGGGATTTTTGGAATTTAAGGTTTGGGATATTGGGGATTTTGGGGATTTTGGGGATTTTGGGAATTTAGGGTTTGGGATTTTTTGGATTTTTGGGATGTTTGGAATTTAAGGTTTGGGATTTTGGGGATTATTGGAATTTTTGGAATTTAGGGTTGGGGATTTTGGGAATTTTGGGTATTTTTGGTATTTTTGGAATTTAAGGTTTGGGATTTTGGGGATTTTGGGGATTTTTGGGGATTTTTGGGGATTTTCGCAATTTAAGGTTTTGGCTTTGGGGATTTTTGGGATTTAAGGTTTGGGATTTGGGGGATTTTTGGAATTTAAGGTTTGGGATTTTGGGGATTTTGGGGATTTTTGGGATTTAGGGTTTAGGATTTGGGGATTTTGCGGATTTTTGGGGTTTTTTGGGGTTTTTGGAATTTAAGGTTTGGGATTATTGGAATTTTTGGAATTTAAGGTTGGGGATTTTGGGGATTTTTGGAATTTAGGGTTTGGGATTTTGGGGATTTTTGGGATTTTGGGACTTTTGATATTTTTGGAATTTAAGGTTTGGGATTTTTGATATTTTTGGAATTTAAGGTTTGGGATTTGGGGATTTTGGGGATTTTTGGGGTTTTGGGGATTTTTGGGATTTAAGGTTTGGGACTTTGGGGATTTTGGGGATTTTGGGGATTTTTGGGATTTAAGGTTGGGGATTGGGGGTTTTTGGGATTTTGGGGATTTAAGGTTTGGGATTTTGGGGATTTTTGGGGATTTTTTGGGTTTTTGGAATTTAAGGTTTTGGCTTTGGGGGTTTTTGGGGATTTTTGGGTTTTTTGGAATTTAAGGTTGGGGATTTTTGGGATTTTGGGGATTTTTAGAATTTAGGGTTTGGCGTTTTGGGGATTTTTGGAATTTAGGGTTTGGCGTTTTGGGATTTTGGGGATTTTTGGGATTTTCGGGATTTAAGGTTTGGGATTTTTGGGGTTTTTGGGATTTTTGGGATTATTGGAATTTGCGGTTTGGGATTTTGGGGATTTTTGGGATTTCTGCAATTTAAGGTTTGGGATTTGGGGATTTTGGGGGATGTTTTGGGGATGTTTGGGGATTTTGGGGATTTTTTTGGATTTTTGGAATTTAAGGTTTGGGATTTTGGGGATGTTGGGGATTTAAGATTTGGGATGTTGGGGATTTTTGGGATTTTTGGGATTTAAGGTTTTGGCTTTGGGGATTTTTGGTATTTTTGGAATTTAGTGTTTGGGATTTTGGGGATTTTTGGGATTTAAGGTTTGGGATTTTTGGGATTTTCGGGATTTTCGGGATTTAAGGTTTGGGATTTTTGGGGTTTTTGGGATTTTTGGGATTATTGGAATTTGCGTTTTGGGATTTTTGGGATTTTGGGGATTTTCGCAATTTAAGGTTTGGGATTTGGGGATTTTTTGGGGGATTTTTGGGGATGTTTTGGGGATTTTTGGGGATATTTTGGGGTTTTTTTGTGTTTCCCACCTGACCCAGAGCAGGAGCTGCAGCAGGTGATGTCCCACGGCGCAATCCCAGAACCAGCTCCACGAGGAGCGCGGGGGCTGCAAGGGAACACAGGGAGGGGATTTTGGGGGATTTTTGGGATTTTTTGGGATTTTAGGGATTTCAGGGATTTTTAGGAATTTTAGGGATTCCAGGGATTCGAGGGATTTCAGGGATTTTAGGGATTTTTTTGGATTTTTAGAGATTTTTGGGATTTTTGGGATTTCAGGGATTTCAGGGATTTTGGGGATTTGAGGAAAATTTGGGATTTTTAGGATTTCAGGGATTTCAGGGATTTTAGGGATTTTCAGAATTTTGGGGATTTTGGGGACTTTTGGGATTCCAGGGATTTCAGGGATTTTCGGGAATTTTTAGAGATTTTTGAGATTTTAGCAATTTTTGGGGTTTTAGGAATTTTTAGGATTTCAGGGATTTTTTGGGTTTTAAGAATTTTTAGGAATTTTAGGGATTCCAGGGATTCCAGGGATTTCAGGGATTTTTAGGGATTTTTTGGGATTTTTAGAGATTTTTGGGATTTTTAGGAATTTTTTGGGGTTTTAGGAATTTTTAGGATTTCAGGGATTTGAGGAATTTTTGGGATTTTTAGGAATTTAGGAATTTCAGGGATTTTCAGAATTTTGGGGACTTTTGGGATTTTGGGGATTTTAGGAATTTTTTGGGATTTTTAGGAATTTTAGGGATTTTCAGGGATTTTTAGGGATTTCAGGGATTTTTAGAGGTTTTTGAGATTTTAGGAATTCTTGGGGTTTTAGGAATTTTTAGGATTTCAGGGATTTGAGGAAAATTTGGGATTTTTAGGATTTTAGGGATTTCAGGGATTTTCAGAATTTTGGGGATTTTTGCGACTTTTGGGATTTCGGGGATTTTAGGAATTTTTTGGGATTCCAGGGATTTTTAGGGATTTCAGGGATTTTTAGGGATTTCGGGGATTTTTAGAGATTTTTTTGGATTTTAGCAATTTTGGGGTTTTAGGAATTTTTGGGATTTCAGGGATTTTTAGGGATTTCAGGGATTTTTAGGGATTTCGGGGATTTTTAGAGATTTTTTGGGATTTTAGCAATTTTGGGGTTTTAGGAATTTTTGGGATTTCAGGGATTTTTAGGATTTCAGGGATTTGAGGAAAATTTGGGATTTTTAGGATTTTTAGGGATTTCGGGGATTTTTAGAGGTTTTTGGGATTTTAGCAATTTTTGGGGTTTTAGGAATTTTTAGGATTTCAGGGATTTGAGGAAAATTTGGAATTTTTAGGATTTCAGGGATTTTAGGGATTTTTGAAATTTTGGGGATTTTGGGGATTTCAGGGATTTGGGGGAATTTCAGGAATTTAGGGATTTTGAGAGATTTTTGGGATTTCAGCAATTTTTTGCGGTTTTAGGGATTTTTGGGATTTTTAGGGATTTTAGGGATTTCAGGGATTTTAGGGATTTTTGAAATTTTGGGGATTTTTGGGATTTCAGGGATTTTAGGAATTTTTGGGGATTTCAGGGATTCGAGGGATTTCAGGGATTTTTAGGGATTTTTTTTTGATTTTTAGAGATTTTTGGGATTTCAGCAATTTTGGGGTTTTAGGAATTTTTAGGATTTCAAGGATTTTTGGGATTTTTAGGATTTGAGGAAAATTTGGGATTTTTAGGGATTCGAGGGATTTCAGGGATTTTTAGGGATTTTGGGGATTTTTAGAGATTTTTGGGATTTTAGCAATTTTGGGGGTTTTAGGAATTTTTAGGATTTCAGGGATTTGAGGAAAATTTGGGATTTTTAGGATTTTAGGGATTTCAGGGATTTCAGGGATTTTCAGAATTTTGGGGATTTCGGGGATTTCAGGGATTTTAGGGATTTCAGGGATTTTTAGAGATTTTTGGGATTGATTTTAGCAATTTTTGCGGTTTTAGGAATTTTTAGGATTTCAGGGATTTTTAGGATTTCAGGGATTTCAGGGATTTTCAGAATTTTGGGGATTTTTGCGACTTTTGGGATTTCGGGGATCTTAGGAATTTTTTGGGATTTCAGGGATTTTTAGGGGTTTTAGGGATTCCAGGGATTTCAGGGATTTTTAGGGATTTTTAGGGATTTTTAGGGATTTTTAGAGACTTTTGGGATTTTAGCAATTTTTGGGGTTTTAGGAATTTTTAGGATTTCAGGGATTGGAGGAAAATTTGGGATTTTTAGGATTTTAGGGATTTTAGGGATTTTTGGGATTTTGGGGACTTTGGGGATTTTAGGAATTTTTGGGGATTTCAGGGATTTGGAGGAATTTCAGGGATTTTTAGGGATTTTAGGGATTTTTAGAGATTTTTGGAATTTTAGCAATTTTTGGGGTTTTAGGAATTTTTAGGATTTCAGGGATTTGAGGAATTTTTGGGATTTTTTAGGATTTTAGGGATTTTAGGGATTTTCAGAATTTTGGGGACTTTTGGGATTTTGGGCATTTTAGGAATTTTTTGGGATTTTAGGGATTTGGGGGATTTCGGGAATTTTAGGGATTTTTAGGGATTTTTAGGGATTTTTAGAGATTTTTGGGATTTTAGCAATTTTTGGGGTTTTAGGAATTTTGAGGATTTCAGGGATTTTTTGGGTTTTAAGAATTTTTAGGATTTCAGGGATTTCAGGGATTTTGGGGACTTTTGGGATTTCGGGGATTTTAGGAATTTTTGGGGATTTTTAGGATTTTAGGGATTTCAGGGATTTTTAGAGATTTTTGAGATTTTAGCAATTTTTGGGGTTTTAGGAATTTTTAGGATTTCAGGGATTTGAGGAATTTCAGAGATTTTAGACATTTTCAGGGATTTCAGGGATTTTTAGAGATTTTTGGGATTTTAGCAATTTTTGGGGTTTTAGGAATTTTTAGGATTTCAAGGATTTTTGGGATTTTTAGGATTCCAGGGATTTGAGGAATTTTTGGGATTTTTAGGATTTTAGGGATTTCAGGGATCTTCAGGATTTTGGGGACTTTTGGGATTTTGGGAATTTTTTGGGATTTTAGGGATTTTCAGAATTTTGGGGATTTCTGCGACTTTTGGGATTTCGGGGATTTTAAGAATTTTTTGGGATTTTGGGAATTTTAGGGATTTTTAGGGATGTTTAGAGAATTTTAGGATTTTAGCAATTTTTGGGGTTTTAGGAATTTTTGGGGTTTTAGGAATTTTTAGGATTTCAGGGATTTTTAGGATTTCAGGGATTTGAGGAATTTTTGGGATTTTTAGGATTTCAGGGATTTTCAGAATTTTGGGGACTTTGGGGATTTCGGGGATTTTAGGAATTTTTTGGGATTTCAGGGATTTCAGGGATTTTTGGGGATTTTTAGAGATTTTTGGGATTTCAGCAATTTTTTGCGGTTTTAGGAATTTTTAGGATTTCAGGGATTTGGGGGATTTTTTAGGATTTTAGGGATTTCAGGGATTTTCAGGGGATTTTTTGGGGGATTTTTCTGGGGATTTTTTTGGGGGGGGATTTTTTGGGGGGATTTTTTTGGGGGGATTTTTGGGCTTTTCCCTTTTTCAGGGATTTTTTTGGAGGGGATTTTTTGGGGGGATTTTTTGGGGGGGATTTTTTGGGGGGATTTTTTGGGGGGATTTTTTGGGGGGGATTTTTTTGGGGGGGATTTTTTGGGGGGATATCTTTGGGGGATTTTTTGAGGATTTTTTTGGGGGGATTTTTTGGGGGGGATTTTTTGGGGGGATTTTTTGGGGGGGAATTTTTTTTGGGGGGATTTTTTGGGGGGATTTTTTGGGGGGATTTTTTTTTGGAATTTTTTTGGGGGGATTTTTTTTTGGGGGGGATTTTTTTGGGGGATTTTTTTTGGGGGGATTTTTTGGGGGGATTTTTTTGGGGATTTTTTTGGGGATTTTTTTGGGGGGATTTTTTTGGGGGGATTTTTTTGGGGATTTTTTTGGGGATTTTTTTGGGGGGATTTTTTTGGGGGGATTTTTTGGGGGATTCTTTTGGGGGGGATTTTTGGGATTTTCCCCATTTCAGGGATTTTTTGGGGGGGATTTTTTTGGGGGGATTTTTTTGGGGATTTTTTTGGGGATTTTTTTGGGGGGGATTTTTTTGGGGGGATTTTTTTGGGGGGGGATTTTTGGGATTTTCCCCATTTCAGGGATTTTTTGGGGGGATTTTTTGGGGGATTTTTGGGGGGGGGGGATTTTTGGGCTTTTCCCGATTTTCCCCATTTCAGGGATTTTTTGGGGGGATTTTTTTTGGGGGGGATTTTTGGGCTTTTCCCAATTTTATGGATTTTTTGGGGGATTTTTTGGGGGGGATTTTTTGGGGGATTTTTTTGGGGGATTTTTTTTTGGGGATTTTTTTGGGGGGATTTTTTTGGGAATTTTTTTTTGGGATTTTTTTTGGGGATTTTTTGGGGGATTTTTGGGCTTTCCCGATTTTCCCCATTTTAGGGATTTTTGGGGGATTTTTTTGGGTGGATTTTTTTGGGGGGATTTTTTTTGGGGGGGATTTTTGGGATTTTCCCGATTTTATTGGATTTTTGGGGGGATTTTTTGGGGGATTTTTTGGGGGAATTTTTGGGATTTTTTTTGGGGATTTTTTTGGGGGAAATTTTTTTGGGGGGGATTTTTTTTTGGGATTTTTTTGGGGAGATTTTTTTGGGGGGATTTTTTGGGGAATTTTTTTTTGGGGAATTTTTTGGGGGATTTTTTTGGGGGGGGGATTTTTTTGGGGGGGGATTTTTTTGGGGGGGATTTTTTTGGGGGGATTTTTTTGGGGATTTTTTGGGGGGATTTTTTTGGGAATTTTTTTGGGGATCGTTTTGGAATTTTTTTTGGGGAGGATTTTTTTGGGGGGGGATTTTTTGGCTTTTCCCGATTTTATGGATTTTTTGGGGGGGATTTTTTTGGGGGATTTTTTGGGGATTTTTTTGGGATTTTTTTTTTTTTTGGGAATTTTTTTTGGGAATTTTTTTTTTTGGGAATTTTTTTTGGGGAATTTTTTTTGGGGATTTTTTTTTGGGAATATTTTTTTGGGGGCTGAATTCCTGTGTATTTTTATTGTTTTGCTCCGTGCCTGGTCGGTGGGGTCCTGGTAGATGACCTGGACGTTCTCGGTGTGCGGGAACCACAGGAAGCGAAAATAGCGGGAATTGCTCAGGTGCTGCTCCAGCTCATCCAGCACCTGGAATCCAGCACGGAAAAATAATGGGAAAAACCTCGGAAAAATGGGAAAAACCTCGGAAAAATGGGAAAAACCTCCCCTGCCCTCCCCAGCCCAAAAAATTCCATAAAAATCCCTTGGGGATGGATCCCAGAATCCCAGAATTCCATCGGTTTCCAATCCCGTCCCAACTCCAAATTTTTGGGATTTTCCAGCTTTTCCTGGGAAATTCTCTGGGAATCCCAGCCCAGCTGGGAATTCCTTCCCAAATCCCAAATTTTCCCATTTTTCCCAGGGAATTCCCTCCGTTCCCAGCCCATTTTTTCTGGGAAAAATCCCAGAAAATCCCATGGGGATCCATCCCCATCCCAACTTTTCCCTGGGAAGGAATTTTGGGATTTCCCTGGAATTTGGGATTCCCAGTCCCTTTCCCATCCCCAAATCCCATAAAAATCCTGGATCCCAGAATCCCGGAATTCCTCAGACGGGATCCATGGATTTTCAATCCCGTCCCATCCCAACCCCAAATTTTTGGGATTTTCCAGCTTTTCCTTGGAAATTCCCAGGAAAAATTCTCTGGGAATCCCAGCCCAGCCAGGAATTCCCTCCCAAATCCCAAATTTTCCCATTTTTCCCAGGGAATTCCCGAAATTCCCAGCCCCACCATGGGATCCATCCCCATCCCAAGTTTTCTCTGGGAAGGAATTTTGGGATTTCCCTGGAATTTGGGATTCCCGGTCCCTTTCCCATCCCCAAATCCCATAAAAATCCTGGATCCCAAAATCCTGGAATTCCTCAGACAGGATCCCCAATCCCATCCCATTCCAACCCCAAAATTTTTGGGATTTTCCAGCCTTTCCTTGGAAATTCTCTGGGAATCCCAGCCCAGCCAGGAATTCCTGCCCAAATCCCAAATTTTCCAGGGAATTCCCTGGATTTTTCCCCCCTTTCCCAAAATCCTCTCCCTGGATCCCTGGGAGTTTTCCCTGGATCCTTTCCCACATTCCCCGAAAAATCCAGGATTTCCCCCAAAATCCTTTCCCACCTTTTCCCTGGATCCTCTCCCACCTTTTCCTAAAATCCTTTCCCACCTTTCCCTCCATCCTCCAGGATTTTCCCTCCATCCTCTCCCACATTCCCTCCATCCTCTCCCACATTCCCAAAAAATCTTTTCCCACTTTTCCCCAAATCCTTTCCCAAATTCCCAAAAATCTTTTCCCACTTTTCCCCTAATCCTTTCCCACATTCCCAAAAGTCTTTTCCCACTTTTCCCCAAATTCCTTTCCCACATTCCTGGATCCTCTCCCGTTTTTCCTTCACCCTTTTCCTCCCTTTCCTCCATTTCCCAACCCCTTCCCCTCCATCCATTCCCAAATTTCCCAAATCCATTCCCACATTTCCCAAATCCATTCCCACATTTCCCAAATCCATTTCCACATTTCTCATCCATTCCCACATTTCCCAAATCCATTCCCACATTTCCCAAATCCATTCCCAAATTTCCCAAAATCCTTTCCCACCTTTTCCCAAATTCCTTTCCCACATTTCCCCAAATCCTCCAGGACTTTTCCCAAATCCTTTCCCATTTTTCCTGCATTTCCCAACCCTTTCCCTGGATCCATTCCCACATTTCCCAAATCCTTTCCCACATTCCCTAAATCCGTTCCCGCTTTTCCCTCCACCCTTCCCATCATTCCCTGCGTCCTTTCCCCCCCCCTTTTTTCTCCCTGCGTTTTCCAACCTTTTCCCTGGATCCTTTCCCACTTTTCCCAAAATCCTTTCCCGCTTTTCCTCCCATCCGCCAGGATTTTCCCTCGATCCTTTCCCACATTCCCTGGATCCATTCCCCATTCCCCAAATCCTCTCCCCATTCCCCAAATCCCCCATTCCCCATTCCCGGGATCTCTTCCCCTTCCATTCCCAAAATCCCCCAAATCCCCAAATCCCAAATCCCCCATTCCCAAATCCCCCATTCCCCATTCCCCATTCCCAAATCCCCCAAATCCCCCAAATCCCCCAAATTCCCCATTCCCCATTCCCCAATTCCCAAATCCCCCATTCCCCATCCCCAAATCCCCCATTCCCAAATCCCCAATCCCCCATTCCCAAATCCCCCATTCCCCATTCCCTAAATCCTTTCCTCATTCCCTAAATCCATTCCCCATTCCCATCCCCCATTCCCCATTCCCCAATCCCCCATTCCCCAAATCCCCCATTCCCCATTCCCCATTCCCCATTCCAAATCCCCCATTCCCCATTCCCAAATCCCCCATTCCCCATTCCCAAATCCCCCATTCCCCAAGTCCCCCATTCCCCAAATCCCCCATTCCCCATTCCCCATTCCCAAATCCCCCATCCCCAAATCCCCCATTCCCAAATCCCCAAATCCCCCATTCCCCATTCCCCAAATCCCCAAATCCCCATTCCCCAAATCCCCCATTCCCAAATCCCCCATTCCCAAATCCCCAAATTCCCCATTCCCCATTCCCAAATCCCCCATTCCCCAAATCCCCCATTCCCAAATCCCCATCCCGCATTCCCCATTCCCAAATCCCAAATCCCAAATCCCCCATTCCCAAATCCCCCATTCCCAAATCCCCAAATTCCCCATTCCCCATTCCCAAATCCCCCATTCCCCAAATCCCCCATTCCCAAATCCCCATCCCGCATTCCCCATTCCCAAATCCCCCATTCCCCATTCCCAAATCCCCAAATTCCCCATTCCCAAATCCCCCATTCCCAAATCCCCCATTCCCCAATCCCCCATTCCCAAATCCCCCATTCCCATTCCCCATTCCCAAATCCCCCATTCCCAAATCCCCAAATCCCCAAATCCCCCATTCCCAAATCCCCCATTCCCCATTCCCAAATCCCCCATTCCCAAATCCCCCATTCCCCATTCCCAAATCCCCCATTCCCCAAATCCCCCATTCCCCCAAATCCCCCATTCCCAAATCCCCCATTCCCCATTCCCAAATCCCCCATTCCCAAATCCCCAAATCCCCAAATCCCCATTCCCAAATCCCCCAAATCCCCCATTCCCAAATCCCCCATTCCCAAATCCCCCAAAATCCCCCATTCCCCATTCCCAAATCCCCCATTCCCAAATCCCCCATTCCCAAATCCCCCAAATCCCCCAAATCCCCCAAATCCCCCATTCCCATGGGATCCATTCTGGAATTTTCCCTCCCGGCAGCAGCAGCCGCAGCCTCAGCTCAAGGTCAGGGCTCAGCATTCCCAGATTTCCCCGGGAATTGCCGGGAATTGGCCTTTGCCCGGAGCAGCTTTTGATTCCCGGGATTTCAATCGGGGCCCGCGCGGAGCCGGAGCCTTTGAGGGATAATTCGGGATCGGGGAGGGCGGCAGCGGCTCCGGAGCCCTCGGCACGGCCCCGGCCCCATCCGGCCCCGGTTCCCATGGAATTGCCGGAACCCCATCCGGCCCCGCATTCCCGGCAATTCCCGGCAATTCCCGGCAATTCCATGGGAACCGGGGGCTCCGGGAGGGGCTCCCTGCCCTGCGCCGGCCCCAAATTCCAGAGAAACCCCCGGGAATGGACCCGGAGCCTCCCGGAGCCCAGGATCCCAGAATGGTTCGGGATGGGATCCAGGGAGCTTCAGCCCCGTCCCAAAATCCTGGGATTTTCCAGCATTTCCTTGGATACCCACAGGGATTCGGGGAAATCCTCTGGGAATTGCAGCCCAGCCAGGAATTCCCTTCCCAAATCCCATTTTTCAGGGAATTCTCTGCATTCCCTGCCTGGGACTGGATCCAGCCCCATCCTGACTCATCCTTGGAAAGGAATTTTGGGAATTCCTGACTCCACTTCCCTTTTCCATCCCCAAATTCCAGAGAAACCCCCGGGCATGGATCCGGAGCCTCCCGGAGCCCAGGATCCCAGAATTCCATTGCTGGCATCCATGGATTTTCAACCCCATCCCATTCCCACCCCACTGTTCTGGGATTTTCCAGCTTTTCCTGCCAGGGATCCAGGGAAATCCTCTGGGAATCGCAGCCCGGCCAGGAATTCCTGCCCAAATCCCATTTTTTAGGGAATTCTCTCCATAAAAATCCCTGGGGATGGATCCAGTCCCACCCCGATTCCTCCTTGTGAAGGAATTTTGGGATTTCTCTGGGAATTGGGGTTTTACTCTGGTTTTCCATCCCCAAATTCCATAAAAATCCCTGGGGATGGACCCGGAGCCTCCCGGAGCCCAGGATCCCGGGATGGGTTCGGGATGGGATCCAGGGAGCTTCAGCCCCGTCCCCAAAATCCTGGGATTTTCCAGCATTTCCTGGGATACTGCCAGGGATCCCATTTTTTAGGGAATCCCATTTTTTAGGGAATTCTCTGCATTCCCTGCCTGGGGTTGGATCCATCCCCACCCGACTCCTCCTTGGGAAGGAATTTTGGGATTTCTCTGGGAATTGGGGTTTTTACTGTGGTTTTCCATCCCCAAATTCCATAAAAATCCCTTGGGATGGATCCGGAGCCTCCCGGAGCCCAGGATCCCAAAATGGTTCGGGATGGGATCCTTGGAGCTTCAGTCCCATCCCCAAAATCCTGGGATTTTCCAGCCTTTCCTGGGATATTCACTGGGATCCAGGGAAATTCTCCGGGAATTGCAGCTCATCCAGGAATTCCTGCCCAAATCCCATTTTCAGGGAATTCTCTCCATTCCCTGCCTGGAGTCAGATCCATCCCCACCCTGATTCCTCCTTGGGAAGGAATTTTGGGATTTCATGACTCCACTTCCCTTTTCCATCCCCAAATTCCATAAAAATCCCTCAGGATGGATCCTGAGTGTCCTTGATCCCAGAATCCCGGAATGGTTTGGGATGGGATCCATGGATTTTCAACCCCATCCCATTCCCACCCCACTGTTCTGGGATTTTCCAGCTTTTCCTGCCAGGGGATCCAGGGAAATCCTCTGGGAATCGCAGCCCAGCCAGGAATTCCTGCCCAAATCCCATTTTTTAGGGAATTGTCCCCATTCCCTGCCTGGGGTCGGATCCATCCC